TTTTTAGAAACAAATTAAAAATTAAAAGGAGGATGAGCCTTGTTGGGAAGTTTAGCATTCCCTCCCTCCTGGTACGATGTCCAGCAGTGTCTGCAGCTCTTGCAGCACGAGGTGTGAAGATAATTTGCAGCCTCCTCCTTTGAATTTCAGACAAGCATCCAAAAGGCCAGGTGGAGGGGGATCTGTGGGGATTCCTGTGCAGGAATGAGGAGCTGAGGAGAGCTCAGGGATGGGCCAGGTGTCTGTCCCTTGTGAGGATATTCCCTGTGCCAATCTGGTGCCAGCACAGCCTCTCTCCCCAGTGATGAGGTGTGACAGTGTTCACAGGGATTCTTGGATGAGGGAAGAGATGGAGATCTGACTCCATATTTCAGAAGGCTTGATTTATTATTTTACGATATATATTACATTAAAACTATACTAAAAGGATAGAAGAAAAGGTTTTCACAGAAGGCTAGCTAAGCTAAGAATAGAAAAGAATGATAACAAAGGTTTGTGTCTCACTCTGTCTGAGCCAGCTGACTGTGATTGGCCATTAATTAGAAACAACCAACATGGACCAATCACAGATGCACCTGTTGCATCCCTCAGCAGCTGATAATCAATGCTTACATTTTGTTCCTGAGGCCTCTCAGCTTCTCAGGAGTAAAAATCCTAAGGAAAGGATTTTTCATGAAAAGATGTCTTTGACAATGAGGGAGCGCTGCAGTCAGGGCGGGCTGAGCTGCCAGGGGAGCTCTTGGGGAGCAGGAATTCCTCTGGGGCTTTGCTGGCACGTGGGGGAAGCTGTGAGCTGTGGTTCTGAGCAGCAGAGCCTCAATTAGGTTCCTCTGCACACGGGCTGTGTTCTGGTCCATCAAACCTAAAATGACAAAATCATTTGTAATCTCTCATTACCGATCCCTGTGGGTTTGCCATCCATGCCTCCCCTGTGGCATTATTCAGCATCATATTATCCATTAAAAAAACTTGTTTGTTTTTTTTTTTTTTTTAAATTAAATTCAATAACTTCCTGCTGTTGCCAGCTATACTTAAATAAATGAAATTTTAGGAATTTGCTGAAATATTTGACTCAGAGATCCACAGGAAAAAAGAATTAGGTCAGATCTGAAATATTGCTGCTAATGACTGCGTAGCCTTCATTACTTACTTGTGTTTGATTGTAGTTTGCCATGAGTGGGTAATATGTGCTTTTACCCCTCTGATTCTCTCTCCCACCCCATGCAAGGCAAGGAAAAGGGCTGTGGGGTTAAACCATGACAGTGCAGCCAAAATTCATCATCTACATTTCTTCCTAGACAGGAAGTGGTTTCTCACAGTAAGTAATCAGCTTGAAAATACAGTGCAGAAGGCACCTAACTCTGTGCACAATTCTTTTTTTCTAAGTTATTTAGACATTGAGAGTGACTCTACTTGACTCTTTTGTATGCAAAAAAGGCACTAGCAGCAGTGAAATCTCCCTCTGTGACCCACAGAGCAGGCTTTGTGTTTCCTGCAGGAATTTGGAGTTTGCTGGGGTGACCAGCCACTCCCAGGGCTCACAGCATGCTGACCCCATCCCATGCTCACTGGAACTGGAATTGGAGAAGGGAAGAGATTTTTTTATTTTACACTGATGCAGTTTGTCTTCTTGTCCCCATCAGGTCACCTTCCCTGGTGTTCTTGAGCCTGTGCCGCACAGCTCTTTGGCTTCTTGGTGCTGTTCTGAGCACATCCTTGGCTTTTTGGCAAAGCCTGAGCCCCCTCCAAAACAGGGACCCTCAGTCTGCCTGGCCAGCCTGCAGTGCTGTCAGGAATTCACTGTTTCACGTTTTAAAAGCCTGCAGCCTAAATCTGTAATCCAGGTGTTCTTCAGTCGTGCCTGCTCCTCTCTTTGATTTACCCCTTTTGTATAAAAATCTTTAGTATATTAAGTAAGTACTTGACCATTCTTTTTTTTTGTGCATAACGAGGAAGGTTTCTCAAAAGTTTTCTTCCCATGTGGTGCCTGTTAGTCACAGATAATTACAGAGGTTGGTGAATGAGGAATATATCTGAGCTCAGGTTCCCCTCCTCCTCTTTCCACAGTGCTTCAGAAGAAAATAAAATAAAAATCCTGCAGACAAATCCAGGGTTTTTTTTTTCCTGTGGTCATGGTCTCCAAAGAGCTCCAGCGAAATCACAGATGTGGTTTCACATTTCAGCTTTAACTATGTTGTAATAACTACAGTCTTATCTGCAGGAGAAATGCAAGTGGGGAAAGAATCATTAATTGACAGTGAAAAGTTTGACCCCAGCTCTGTGTGTTTGTTTGTTTTAAGCAGCTGAATGTTTAGCCAAACCATATTTTAACTTCTGATATTTTAATCTCCATAGGTTAAAATGTTGTAGGAAGGGATATTTTAACTTCTGCCTGCAGCCCTGAAGGTTACAATAATCTCCATGGGTTAAAACCCAGGAATGTTATAGGAAGGGGAACTTAGATAGGTGTTTCAGGAAAGCAGAAATTCTCGTGGTTTAAAGCCAAGACACAGCCTTCAATTTTAATCCAACTGCGCACAAACCTTGGTGGGACCTTGCTTTAAACCCAGGAGGGTTTTTGGGTGTTTTGGTGGGTGCAGAGCAAGGCAGCTGTGAGAGCTGAAGCCTCTCCTGTGGCTGAGGAGCCCACGAGCTTGCATGAAATGTTTGGCTAACATCTAATTTTCCTGTCTTTTGTCAGTGTTCATTGAGGAAGTCTGCTGGCCTGAATGAGTTCCTGTGTGTGTGTGTAGTATGAGCATTATGCAGCAGGACTACATGGGATATGTCTATTATCTGTCACAAAGGCACCAGTGACCTTCCTGCCCCTATATTAGCAGGGCCTGCTGGTTTTCCATCCTGCCAGTTGTCAGGAATGCAGATCATCCCCAGAGCTGGGTACAGCCCTCATTGGTCAAACTGGTGTCTCAGCAAAACCAAATGCTTTCATTATAAAAAAAAAATTAAAGTTAGAGATGTCATCTCAGCAGGACATTCCCACTCAAATGCATATTTGAGGCTGGAAAAATGAATAATTTAGAGGGCAGGGGAGGCAGAGTACATAATGAAATTACACGGGACTCGAATGATCTCTGTTTTAACAGGTATGGCTGTTTTCAAGGTCAGTTTGTGGTTGTTCTTTGCCCCCAGATTTGTTTTCTGTTTTCAGAACTGCAGCACACAGGAGACTTCAGGAGTAGCCTGAACCTTCAGAAATATGGGCTAAGATGTGAGAATCCTGCCCAGAACTTTCAGAAAAATGACCAGGGCTAGGACAGGAGAATCCTACCTAGAACTTTCAGAAATATGGGCTAGGACAGGAGAATCCCACCTGGAATGTTCAGAAATATGGGCTAGGACAGGAGAATCCCACCTGGAATGTTCAGAAATATGGGCTAGGACAGGAGAATCCTACCTAGAACCTTCAGAAATGTGGGCTAGGACAGGAGAATCCCACCTAGAACCTTCAGAAATATGGGCTAGGATGGGAGAATCCTACCTGGAACGTTCAGAAATATGGGCTAGGACAGGAGAATCCCATCTAGAACTTTCAGAAATATGGGCTAGGACAGGAGAATCCTACCAAAACCTTTCAGAAATATGGGCTAGGATGGGAGAATCCTGCCCAGAACTTTCAGAAATATGACCAGGGCTAGGACAGGAGAATCCTACCTAGAACCTTCAGAAATATGATCAGGGCTAGGACAGGAGAATCCTACCTGGAATGTTCAGAAATATGGGCTAGGACAGGAGAATCCTACCTAGAACTTTCAGAAATATGGGCTAGGACTGGAGAATCCTACCTAGAACCTTCAGAAATATGGGCTAGGACAGGAAAATCCTACCTAGAACCTTCAGAAATATGACCAGGGCTAGGACAGGAGAATCCTACCTAGAAATCAAAGTCTAAAACTGTTGCCTGAGCTCAAGGAAGCACACACACAGATGGAAACTCTTAAAATTAGTACAATACTAAGAAAGGTTATTGATAACATATCCAAATAGTCCTGTATTTCGTCAGTGTGCTTGTTTGATAGGGAAAGGGTTTGTTATGTATCAAAATTATGCGTTGAAAAAGTTCTATGTTAAAAATCTACTAGAAAATGTTCTTTTCATTGCTACATGCTTGGGTTGGTGGATAAAGTGTCTCAGAACAACTCTGTGGTCCACTGGAGAACACTGAGGCTGTCAGTTTTCCTTGAGAAATGCTAGATTTTATTGTTTAAAATTTATTGTTTAAATTTTATTATTATTTTAATTTTATTATTATAATAAAACACTAAATTTTATTATTTAAATTATAATATATAAGTCAAAATGTTTGTAAGTTAAAAAATATTTTACTATTTAAAATATAAGATCCTTTTAAAAAGCCACTGTAAGGGTAAACATTGTGTGAATGTTTATTTATTTTATTATTTTTATTGTTTTTCCTGTATGTCTAGGAGGCTCAGGGGTTCAAACCCCAGTTTTGTGACAGTGTTCTGGTAATAAAAGCGCTGAAAGGAGCAAGGTTGAGTTTAGTGAGATGCCACAGTGGCACAGGTGGTGCTGCCCCATTGAGCCTTTTGTTGAACTGCTGCCCTGTGTTGGGATAAACTGATTTTTGCCTCCAAAAAAACGTTTGGGTTGTTTTGGTAGTTAGCATAGGGAAGGTTTTTTTTTATGTTTGAACATTCCCAAATTTTGATAAAAAGCTTGAGATTTAGACTTTGTTATTTTAGTGTTTTTCCCTTTCTCTATAGTGAGAAAATGCCCCCAGGGCTGAATGCACTCACGGTACAAAAACAACATCAGGCATTAATCTAAATTCAAATGTACATTTAATCATATGTGTGTATGTATTTAAATCAGTGTGTGTTAGAGGCATCCCCTTCAAAAAAGGCTGTCTGCAGGTAATCTCTGAAGCACAGAAATTGTTTTAATTCAGAAAAAGTATTGGAGAAGGGAAGAGATTTTTTTATTTTACACTGACACAGTTTGTCTTATTTTCCCCAAAGGACACCATGGTTTAATGGATGGGGCTTTAATCTACCCAGAGGTCAGTCTTTGCTAGACAAGTGGAACCTTATTCCCGAGGGAATTGATATACTAATGACACATGGACCTCCCCTTGGTAAGTGAAACAAAAGTTCTGTGTGATTTTATTTTTTGCGTGAGAATTTTACTTCCAAAGTGGATAATGCTGTAAGATATACTGTAATTGCACCCAGAGTAAAAGCTGTGGATTGAAAAACTTACTGAAAGAAGTGGAAAATTATGATTAGGCTTAGCTGATCTGTTGAGTTTCCATAAAAAAATTTGATTTTTTTTTTATTAAATTCAAGCTAGGGAAGATCAAATAGCTGACACCATAACCATTATAATATGACATTTTATTTAAGAGTAGTATTCATCTGACAACCAGTTTTCAATCCCTTATGACTTTTTAGAGATTGACTAAAACTTTTGAAACCTTTTCTCACTACAGTGTCATGTCATTTTAAGGTTTGTGAGCAGCAGTCAAGAGTTTGGAACTTTGCAGTCACACATTCTCCTTGATAATGCCCTTGTAAACTTTGAATATGTAAGAATAGTTTTAAAGGTATTAATTGGCTCATAAAAAATTTGCGAAGGAATAAAATTATGTTCTTAGATAATTGTTCCTAACTTGATTTAATGACAGGTGAGCACCAGCCACTGAATGCATAATTTGTTTCTTCATTAGGCAGCTAAAGTTTCTCATTTAGTTGAGTTTTGCTTTTTTTCTCGGTGTGAGTCATTGGCTAAGCTCAGGTTTAAGATTTAAACTAAGCCCTGCTGGGTTTACAGCAACTGAGACTCATACAAATGTCACTTATCAGATCACCATGAGGAAGTGTGGCAGTGGCTTCATTGCCCTTACTGTAAGAAGAATTATTTTTGTTGAGGTTTTAGGATTTTTGTCAGGGTTTTAGGAAGTTCTTGTAACCCAAGGGGTCACACGATCACAGGAAGTGGCCAAATCACAGTCACTTACTACATTTGTGGTAGTGAATACATAAAATCTTCTCACAATTGTATTTTAATAAAATAAACCAGCATTTTAAGTCCTTCCAGGCTGGCTCAGTGTTCTTTTGCAGCTTCTTGGTGACTGTGGAGTCAGGAATTAATGCATGCTGAAAAAACCACTTAGTTGTGTTTTTTTACCACAATTAAGTTAAGAGTCAGCAATCCAAGCTAAGGGGAAAAAAAAAGAAAGCTCCACAAAAAGTTTTTGACCAATGTACTTACTGCTCCTTTTATATTCTGGTTAGTTTTTAATGCTGCTTAGAGAATGTTGTAAGAAGATCAGCAAATTCCCTTTAGCCATGCTGGAGCTGCCAGTACCTGCAAACCAGGGCCTTGAACAGCACTCTCTTAATCACTTCATTTTCCCAAAGAAGCAAAAACAAAACCCAAAACCCAAGTGTGTTTATAATGTTTCATGGGTGCTGTTTTACATGGGCTGCTCATCCACCTGCTCTGAGCTGGGTTCATACAGAAATACTGTGATGCTGCAGACACCAATGAGTGCTGTCATTGAACAAGCCTGCTTAAATTTTGTGTTTGAAGGAGATAATGAAGCTCAAGTTTCAAAAGGCTGGCACTGTGTCTTAACCACAGACACAGATTTGGTGTCAGTACTGCCCCTAAAATGAGGGGCTCTAGGACTCAGCCTGCATGATAACATTGATAAAATACTGCTTTTTAAATAAGTGTTTACTTATTAATGTTAAGTGAATATTAAGGGAGGTAGAGCTGTAACTGGACTCTTTGGTCACTCTAAAATTTAGCCAAGCTCATGTTTTTAGTCAGTAGAATGGTGCTGCAGCTGGACGTGGCTTCTGATTTCCCTTTCATTGCTCCTCATTCCCTTGTCCTGCTGATGTTTTACATGCCAGTCCAGGCAGCAGGTTCCTGCAGGGACTCATGGCAGCTTTTTACATTTTTCTGTAAAATCTTTTTACATTTTTCTGTACTGTCCAGAATACAGTGGTCTGTGGTCTGTGCCAGTGTTCACAGGGGTTCTTGGATGAGGGAAGAGATGAGGATCTGACTCCACGTTTCAGAAGGCTGATTTATTATTTTATTATATATATATTACACTAAAACTATACTAAAAGAATAGAAGAAAGGATTTCATAAAAAGGCTGGCTAAGAATAGAATAGGAAGGAATGATAAAAAAAGTTTGTGGCTCGGCTCTCTGTCTGAGCCAGCTGGCTGTGATAGGCCATTAATTACAAATATCTAACATGGGCCAATCAAAGATCCACCTGTTGCAGCAGATAATCAATGTTTGCATTTTGTTCCTGAGGCCTCTCAGCTTCTCAGGAGGAAAAATCCTAAGGAAAGGATTTTCCATAAAAGATGTCTGCGACAGTGGTCAATTAGCACTGGCTTGTTGGGAGCTGCTTTGCAATTTTTGCACAGTGATGAGGGCTCAGAAGTGGCCTGATGGCTGCAGACCACATCCTCCAGAAGCTGTGGGAATCTGTATTTTAAATCTTTGGGATTGAGAGGTGGCTCAGCTCATCTTCCTGAGCTGTGACAGTGTTCATAGGGGTTTTCAGGTGAGGGAAGAGACGAGAATGTTGACTCTATGTTCAGAAGGCTTGATTTATTATTTTATTATATACATTACATTAAAACTATACTAAAAAGAATAGAAGAAAAGTTTTATCTCAGAAGGCTAGCTAAGCTAAGAATAGAATAGAAAAGAATGATTACAAAAAGGCAGCTGTTTCAGACTCTGTCCGAGACAGCTGGGCCTTGATGGGCCATTAATTATAAACATCTAAGATGGGCCAATCAAAAATCCAACTGATGCATTCTGCAGCAGCAGACAATCATTGTTTACGTTTTGTCCCTGAAGCCTCTCAGCTTCTCAAGAAGAAAAAATCTTAAGAGAAAGATTTTGCATGAAAAGATGTCTGTGACGCTGAGCTGTTTCATTTCTGGAGTAACCACGGAGCTGGCTGCTGTCAGAGCCAGGGGAAAGGGAAGAAAAATCTGCAGCAGTGCCAGGAAAAATCTGCAGCAGTGCCTGGGGTTTCAAGGTGGTATAGTTCTATAGTTCAAAAAAAAAAACCCAACAAATCACATCCAGGAAAAACATTAATGCAGATGGAGGGAGGAAATCTTAAGGAAGGCAAAGTGACAGTGAAAAACATTTCTTGAAAGCCATTGTGTGCTTTAATGGAGAGGTTATGACTGGAGATAATGGAATAAACCCTGTGTGAATGATGACTTCCTGAAAGAATTGGTGAAGCCTCACCTGAATAGGGGAAATTAATGCACTGATTGCTTTTTGCCTCCAGGTTTCCGAGACTGGGTTCCCAAGGAGCTGCAGAGAGTGGGCTGTGTGGAGCTGCTGAACACAGTGCAGAGGAGAGTCAGGCCCAAGCTGCATGTCTTTGGTGGGATTCATGAAGGTAAGCAGCAGAGCTGTTCCCTGCTTCAGCTCCCATTTCCAGAGGCACATTTTGATGGTGTATTGCAGTGGGTAATGGCAGATTGCATTAAAGTAAAGGAGGGAGTTCAGGGAAGTGATTGGCTGTGTGGCACTTCGTGAATTTATTCCAGAATTAAAGCAGACTCTTTCAGGAATGTGTGCTACATTTAGCCACCTACATCTTTCACCGTGCTGCAAAGGTTGTTCCATGCAGGTTATTTGAAAGCAATTCAAGTTTTGACAAACTCTACTAGAGAAACAGATGAGATTCCCCACACTTGCGAGCCAAAATGAAAATTATCCCCGTTACTCCCAGCACAGGAGCTAAGAAAGATGCTGGAGGAGAAAAAGGAAATGTGCAGACAACTTGCTGCCTCTCCTCACCTCCCCCAGGGTATGAGGGAAAGCAGAAAGGAGGGCATGTGGAGTCAGGCATCAGTGCCATGTTTTAGGGGAGATATTCCCCCTCTGTGGTTGCCAGCACAGGCAGTGTGAGCATCGTGTCAGCCTCAGGAACAACCAGCTCAGTTTGTGGCACTGAGAGATTAAATACATTCTGGAGATACTTAAATATTTAATACAATTTTGTGGCTTTCATGTGGCTGAGAGACAAACACTAGGAGTTCTGCCTGAGAGAGAGTGTGAGACTTCATGACCTCAGAACTCAAAATTACACATTAAATGTTTTATATTCTCCCCCTGGAGGTTTCTCCATTGTCTCTAACTAGGTTCTCCATAGGCCTAAAGATTTCAGGACTTCATAAAAGCAAAATAAAAAGAGGACAGCTCTCTCTGCCAGTGGTGTTGGTTTTTCTGAAGCCCTTGTGACTTCATGAAATGATTTCCATGCCTGGCATCTGTAAATAAAGAGTTTGTACTGGGAATACTGACATGACCCTCTGCACAGAGGCATAAATAACAGTCTTTAATGCTCCCAATTAAAAAGATTGAGTATTTTGTACAAATGTTAGTCCTCACATATTAAAAATAAATGAACATGGCAAGACTCTCAGCTGAAATGTGTAAATTGTAAATTTGGGTGGTGAAACTTGTGGTTGTAATAGTGCTGAGGGTGTCTGAATGTACAGACCATCATATGAGAAAGCAGCATGTTTAAATCTCCTGAGAACGGTGGCAGGACATATTAAAAGCGAGCATTCAAATAAATTATTGTAAAAATACCAGCAAAAATTTAAAATAATTTCTAGTACTTACACAGAACAACATAAGAATGGCTTGCTTCAGTACAGGAAGAAATAGCAAAGTGTTAAGAGCATTATCTCAGGGTGCAATTAACTTCTATCCAGCCTCAGCTGAGATAAATATGCACCACATTCCCTTGAACCAACAGAGGCCATACACTCATTTTGGTGATGCAGGTTTTCTCTCCTGTTTGATAAGCAAAACAACCACAAACAAGGTTTTTCCCACCATGAGATGATCTAAATCAAAATTGCCAGTCTAAATAAATAAAGTGATACAGGTGGACAGGAAAGCAATTCTGAAGTGATTATTCTTTCTGATAGGCACTGTGGGTAGCTGTATTTATCTGAGCTTTCTGACAGCAGCGATCTGTACTCTATCATAATGGTTTAAAAGAAAAAAACCTTTTTCCTCTGTGGGTTTGCAATGGGAAGCTTTCTTCCTCCATCATACTCTGGGGTGTTTTTTCCAATTATTTTTTTTTAAGTGCATTTGGGCCAAATACTTCCTTGGTGTTTTCAAGCTTCTTTGTTAGCTTTTTGCGGATGTCAGCTGAAAACACACACACACTTTTATAAAATTCTTTTGAAATACATGTATAAATTAAATAATGGAGCCATAGAACGGTTTAGATTGGAAGGGACTTTAGGATCATCTCATTCCAAGCATTCTACCATGGACAGGGATGCTTTCCACTATCCCAGGTTGCTCTGAGCCCTGTCCAGCCTGGCTTTGAACACTTTGGGGTTGGGGCTGACACAGCTTCTCTGGGCAGCATGAGGATGTGAATGTGTGTGTTCTTAACTTGCTGAGGAGCTCCTGAGGTCTCAGAAGCTGATGCCTCAGGGTTCAGCTTTTCTATTTATCACATTCTGTGCTGCTTTAGTGTGTGGGTCTGAGCTTCACATTCAGGGATGGTGAGCTCTGTGCACAGAGCAGGGAGACAAAACAATTCCTGCTCCAGCTGGGCACCAAGGACAAATGATCCCAATCTCAGCCCCAGAGCACAAACCCCGTGGGCTGCAGAGAGAAAAACAAGCAGGGTGGGAGTGCCTGGGCTAAAGCTGGAATGGGACAATGAACTGCAAGGTGCAAATGGAGCAGAACTGATCCCAGGGAGAGAGCCCGGGAGCGCTCCTGCATTTTGGGGCCATTTTGGTTCATCTTGGGTGCAGCCCTGGCTGGGCTCTGGTGCTGCCCAAGGTGGATCCATGGAGGAGATGCTTTGAATAAACCCCTGCTTTGTTCTGTAGCTCTGCCCAGCCCCTGCTCCAGGGCAGCCTGCACAAGGCAGCGTGAGCAGCAGCTGGGCAGTGCTGGGATGAGGAGCAGGGTGATAAGGGCCAGCACAGGGGAGGTGACAGAGTTCAGGCTGTTTGTTGGAGAGAAGGTGTTGAGGTTAAACCAAAGTTACTTTAAAATCTTTTGCTTCTGAATGGTCTTTTTCTTGTGACAGGCATGCAAGCTATAACTCACTAATTAAGTAATTAGAAAAAGAACATGTGTGGTTTGTGTTTCTGCCACACCCCTTGCAAGAGAGGATATTCCAGGGGTAAAAAAAGGTTTGTACATAAACCAAAAGTGCCTGTTCTTATCTCAAACACAGCCCTCTGGGTTTTTTACAGTCGAGTCTTTGTGGCAGATGTACCAGCAGGGGCTGGTGTCATTTTGAACGGGTCAGTTTGGTTTTATTGCACAGCAGGGATGCCCCAGCAGCCTTGGGGTGTCCGTGTGTCCCTGGAAGTTGATGCCTTGTGCAGGCTGCCCTAGAGCAGGGGCTGGACAGAGCTACAGAATAAAGCAGGGATTGATTCAAAGCATCTCCTCCATGGATCCACCTTGGGCAGCGCCAGAGCCCAGCCAGGGCTGCACCCAAGATGAACCAAAATGGCCCCAAAATGCAGGAGCGCTCCCGGGCTCTCTCCCTGGGATCAGTTCTGCTCCATTTGCACCTTGCAGTTCATTGTCCCATTCCAGCTTTAGCCCAGGCACTCCCACCCTGCTTGTTTTTCTCTCTGCAGCCCACGGTGTTTGTGCTCTGGGGCTGAGATTGGGATCATTTGTCCTTGGTGCCCAGCTGGAGCAGGAATTGTTTTGTCTCCCTGCTCTGTGCACAGAGCTCACCATCCCTGAATGTGAAGCCCAGACCCACCCACTAAAGCAGCACAGAATGTGAAAAATATGAGCTGAACCCTGAGGCATCCCAGTGAGTGTGTCCCTTGTCCCCACAGGTTATGGCATCATGACAGATGGCTACACCACCTACATCAACGCCTCCACGTGCACAGTCAGCTTCCAGCCCACCAACCCTCCCATCATCTTCGACCTTCCCACCCCTCAAGGATCCTGAAGCACTACTGGGGAAGGTCTATAAACTGCCATTTTCTAATTAAAAACTTACCTTCATGTTTATTTCAAAATAGGGGCTAGGGGGGATTTTGGGGGAGCCGTGGGGGGTTTTGTTTTGGGGTGGGGTTTGGGATTTTTTTGTTTTGTTTTTTTTTTATTTGTAAATTGCTGGTGCAAAAGAAACAGGAAGAGAAGTTAGAGGTTGTGCTTTTTGGAAATGCAGCATTCATTTTAAATTGATAAAACATTGTGAATTTGTACAATGAATTTTGTTTTTCAATAAATTTGCCATTGTAAATTGTTATAGTGTTCTCAAAAGGACAGCCAAGCTTTCTTTTAATAAGTGAGAGACCTTATTTTAATATTATATTATAAGCTAAAAAATAGGCAGCATTTAAATACACCCAAATTTGCACAACTTTTGTTATTGTCGGGGTTTTTTTTAAGTGTCCTCTTTTTCCCTAAGTTTAAATGTCAGCTTTTTATCTCAGTTTATATAATTTTTTTTAGTAGCACAAACAGTGTTTTGGGGTCCATTTGCCTCTTGACATGTGTGCATGTACTTTAACTTGTTTCTATTCATGGTAGAATGCAGCAAGGGGAGAATAGACTTCTCAGTTGTTTGTCTCTACTTGCTTTATAAAGACTGATCTTGATAGCCACAGCCTGTATGTGATATCTACCTTCTGTTGTTTCTTTTTTTAAATTATTTTAGCTTTAAAAGACTGGGGGTGAAAGCTGCAAAGAGCAGGTATTTCATGCAGTAAAAAAAAAGAAAAAAATTGTAAATGCGGACTCCTTTTAAATATGAATTTATATATATATGTATTTTTTGTGCATTATAACTAAGCTAGGATTTAATATTGCCAGTATAGCATCTGCAAAATTATGCTGTACAGCACATCTAAATTATGAAGGATGTGACATGTTTTTCCAAGTGCTCAAGGCCTTCAAGAGCCCGAGTTAAATCTTTGTTGTAGTTCAGGCATGTATAGAGTCAAATGGATACAATCAAGCCTAAATAAAATAAGGCTTAGTTGTCCTTTATATTTAAATATTCTTCTTGTCTTTTTTATTTCCTTTTTCTTATTTTGCACTGTGTGTAAATGCAATCTCACTAGCACAAAATATTGTTGCAGATAGTTATTTCTGTTCCACCACTGTAAATGCTCTTGAGCTTCGTTCTGTTTATGTTACCTTGTTAATGGAATTTAGAAAAGCAGTTGTTTCTTTAAAATTATTGTGATATTATATCTAGCGGCCTTTATATGCAAATAAAATTGCAAGATTTTTAAATACGTGGTTCAGGGGAATTCTGTGGTTGTTTTTGTGGCATGGACGATTTTGGGGAGTGATGATAAAAGTAAGTAAGAAATTTTCTATTTCTCAACACATTTATATTGCAGCCCATTCATCAGATCCAGCTGGGTCAGTGGAGCACTCAGAGTTTCCCTTGTTTCTGTTCCCTTCATCTCTCATTCCTTTTGAGATTTGCAGTTGTTTCTTTAAATTTATTGTGATATTACATCTAGCAGCCTTTATGTGCAATTAAAATTGCAAGATTTTTAAATACGTGGTTCAGGGGAATTCTGTGGTTGTTTTTGTGGCATGGACGATTTTGGGGAGTGATGATAAAGGTAAGTAAGAAATTTTCTATTTCTCAACACATTTATATTGAATATATTTATATTCATCAGATGCCAGCTGGCTCAGTGGAGCACTCAGAGTTTCCCTTGTTTCTGTGCCATCCATCTCTCATTCCTTTCAGGCAGAAGAGATTTTGTCTTTAGGTGTTGTGGGACCAAGTTTGAGCCTTGTGGGACCCTCCTCCAGGTGACACCAGGAAGAATTGATCAGGCAATAACCTTTTTGCTGCCTCACTTGGTCATTGGCACTGAGCTGCAGGTGTCTCATGCTCTCACCCACTCTGGGTTAAAAAATTAATAGTCAGTAGCTGAAATACATCAGTTTTTCTGTGGATCTCCTGTCAGTTTTGTGGCTGCAGCAGGATCCAGCGCTGGCAGGGCAGGGGGATGACAAACACTGCAGGAGCTGCTGGTGATGCTGCATGCAGGCATCTAGATAATAACAGTCTTCTTCCAAGCTACGGCGGCAAAAATCTGCTTTTAGACAGGAGAAAATAAGGTGCAGTTTGCATGAATCTGCATCCTCAGTAACAGCAACACCTGGAGAGAGACAGAGCATCCCCATTTATCTTAACAGGTTGGTGGCTTTGGACATGATTTTGATACAAAGGTTAGAAAAATTAGACAAACAAAATAGACAAAACAAATCCAAGGCTCTTACAGCAGAGCACAACTTAGAGGGCCACTGTCTGTATTTTATGCAACATGCATGTCACAGATCTTGGCCAAAATCTTCAGATTTATAAGGCTGCCATACCAAAGTCTTTTTTTGGGGAAGAAGCTGCTGTATCTCTTAAATCTAGTTCTTGTTCTGTATGAGGAATTCCTTGTCAGGTTTCCATAGGAAATAGACAGGTACCTTCACTCCTTAATGATATCTGCCTCACTTTGCTTGCAGTGCTGCTTGTTTTATCAACTAAGCCAGAGGAAGAAAGGTCACCAAATATTAGTCCTTACTTTTGGGTGTAGAGGCAGGGTCTGTCTTGTGGTTTTTTTTTTTAATCTAGCAGTGAGAACACAAGGAAATTGGTTTTGACAACCACAGCTGTCTGCTGGCAAAGAGCTTTTGAGATGGCTGTCCTTGGAAGAAAAGCAATTTTTGGAGCACATAGAAATCATGTGTGTAGCACACCTTGCATTATTCTGTTTCACTGATCTCTTGCTTGTTGTCACTGCATAAGGAGGGAGTCCCACAGCCTCAGATGCTCTGTAGATGAATTTTCAGGTGAGCAGAGAATAACCACTGCTGCTCCCCAGCCTTCTGCAGAGCCTGGCACCTCTTCATTAGCTACAGCAGGAGGCCCATAGCACCAGGCTGTCGTGTCTCTGCCTCTTCACAGAAACTGGGTTATTGCAAGAGCAAAAATCCCAAGCCAGCAGCTTTGTTCCAGCATTTGAGCAGACTTCTGGCAGCAAAAGGAGTGGAAGCTCATCCAGGAGTGTGCCTTGGGTGAGACTGGTGGTGAGGACAGACCAGAAGCTGTGAGGGAGCAGATTTTTAGCAGCCTCTGGGATAACCTCTAAGCTGGTAGCTGTAGCCATGGCTGTCCTAAAGGGCTGAGTCTTGGTTTCAGCTCTTTGCCACGTGTTTTTTTGGCTTTGTGGTGTGTTACTGAGGGGTTCTGCACTGCCATACAAAGGCCTGGATTTGTCCCAGCAGGCTGAGGCTTCCTCCTGCCATTTAGACACATCAAGGACAGTCACTGCTGTGTCATCAGTTGGTGCTGGTGCTAAATGCAGCTGTTAATTTACAGAGGTTAAGTCTTCAGGGGTACTTCCTAACCCTCTGTTTCCTCCTAGTATTTTTCTCTCAGGCTTTGTCAGCCTCACCTTGCTGGTGGTTCAGCACTGAGCTCGTTCTCCTCCATGCCAGGGTATTTGAAATTTTACTCCCTCAGTTTTCTTTAGTCCTTTCAGGAATTGATCTAGTTTTCCTCTTCTGAGGAAGCTCTCATTTTGGCTAGCAGCAATTACAAAAAAGGCCAGGAAAATATTACCACTTTGGCTTTTTTTCCTTGTTATGCTCCTTGGAGATTTTGAAATGTCTCTAGGTGTCCGTGTGTGCTGTCACAGGCACGTAATTCTCCTTTGCTGGATGTCAGCCATATCTGACAATCAGGGTGACTGGGACACAGCCTGGCTTGTAGAAGTTTGATTTCACAGGGAGGCAAAAGTATGTGATGAATCTGCTTCTTTTCAAGGATCTTTCACTGCTGAAAGTAGCTTGATGCATGCATGCAGAACAAACCTTGGGTAATAAGTCTTTCTTTGGGGTCTGGTCCAAGCCCAGTGAACTCACCAGGAGTCTTTCTATTGACTTCAGCTGGCTCTGCATCAGACACCTGCCATCTCTCTGGACTCTGCTGCTGCCTATTACTCATCCTTCCAGCTGGAGGAGATGGTGCTTGGTTAAGATGCAGGAATCTCTGGGTGGGAGGAGAGCCCTACCTATTGTAAGTGCTGAACCTCCCAGGTGATTGATTAACAGCAGAGCAGTCGATTAACCTTTCCTCCTGTGAGAGCAGCTCCCATCTCCTCATCTCCACGAGGCTGAGAGCAGTCAAGGCCTTCAGCAGGGGAGGGCTGAGGAGCAGGATGCTCCCCAGAGGTGTCTGCTTCCCAATTCTCCCTGCATAGTGGATTTAGTGAATTCAGCAGACCTTGGGGTCAAGCATTTATTAGGCTAAGAGACTGTCAAATCAATCTGCTCTACTCCAGGCAAGTTCTACCAGGAGGGTGGGTTTTGCCAAGACTCTGTCTCGGCTATAGATTGATGACTGGCTCCTGGTGGAGGCTGCCTTTCTCTTTTCCATTTTCTGTGGATCAGAGTTTTTTCCCCTCACTGACACCAATATTTTCTCCTTAGACAAATTTCATTAAGGAAACTCTTGGAAACTGTATGGAATTTAAGACACAGGGAATGACTTAAAGTCTAAACTCTGTAGTCCTTCCATTTTGTGTTATATTGACCTCAGGGCCTTTCTTGAGAGCTTGTTTTTTGACTACAGGTATTTGAATTATATTTCTGGAATTTTCTTTTCACCCCTTCTCTCCCTCACCCTCCCATGTCTTTTTTTCAACTTAATATTCTCTAGCAGTTACAAGCAGGCAGGGATTCTGATTTTTCTCTGCCTAACATCACAGCTTCTTAGTGGAAAGAGAAATGCATTGTAAAAGCAGCTGTATTTCCCTCCCTTCATACCAATCCCAACTTCCTTGCAGGTTCCTCATTTGCTGTGACCAGGCTGCTGAGCACCATCACCAGCTAACTTACCTGAGCTACCCAAATAAAATTGTGTTGTGATCAGGCTTGGCCAGGGATGTCAGCAGCCAGAGGACAGCCCTGTGGGCAGGTTCCAGCTGCCAGAGCTCTGCAGAAATGCAGGAAAAAGGGAGTCCAGCACAGGAGTGCAGCCTAAAGACTAAAGTCAGCTTTGAACATTTTCACCCCCACTT